TACATTCTCAGCCCTCTTTTATTTTTAATTTTGAGACAGAGTCTCCCTAAGTCATTAAATTGCCTAGGCTGGGCTTGAACCTGTGATCCTCCTATCTCAGCCTCTCAGGTGGTACAGGCGTATGTGTGTGCACTACCATGTCCCACTTGTTATCTTTTTAAATCTTCATATCAATCCTATAAAGCAGGGGCCTGTCTGTCTTTCTCTTTCTCTCCCTTTCTTTCTTTCTTTCTTTCTTTCTTTCTTTCTTTCTTTCTTTCATTCATTCAAGATAGGGTCTCACTATGTAGTTCAGGCTGACCTTGGACTCACTATGTAGCCCAAGCTGGCCTCAAATTCACAGCAACCCTCCTGCCTCAGCCTCTTGAGTGCTGGGATTACAGGTGTATGCCATCACACCCAGCAGAACGTTTCTTCCTTTAAACTCATTTATGGCACAGCCCTAGTTCATGAAAGAAGGTTAACAAGCGTTACCCTCGTCTTTCCCACAACTATTTCCTGGAAAAATAAAATGAGAGGAAACGAAATCACAGCAATAAAAATGATAGACTCTTTTGGTGGTGGTGGGGATCAGACTCAGGGCCTCACGCGGGCCAGGTAAGTGACCTCTGCTGAGCCAACGGCCCTCGCCCTTGGAGGGCAGTGTCCACTTCAATGCTGTGTCGGCGCAGGGCATCTGTTACCCCGCAGGTCATCGACAAGCCCAGTTCTTCACCCAGGCATGTTGTCTCTTGGGGCTCTGTGCCTCCTGGGAGCCTGGCTCTCACCTCTGAAGTAGACGGTCAGGCAGGGTCTGGGTGGGGGGCTCAGGGGCGGCTCGATCTTGGCTGACTCCACGACCAGCCGCAGCATGGCGCCCGTCTGCTCCCCTCCTTCCCTCCGAAACTCTAGGGCTTCCTTCTTGGAACTCTTTGGTCCCAGGCTTCTCTCGGTGGTCTCGGGTGAGTGGGGCCTAGCAACAGCGGGGATGTCACAGAGGGGACCAGTTCTTGGTTCCGGAGCCCAACCTCAGCTACAGCAGGAGCGAGGACCACAGAGAACGGATAAGGCCAGTGGTCGGAGGTGACAGAAACCGAGCCACAGGGCTGCTTTGACATTTCCTTTCTCTTCTCTTTCCCATCCTTGCTGTCCTTTTGATAACGTGTTTTTCTTTTTTCCTTTAGACAGGCAAGTCGTCCGGAATGAATCATTGCCAGAGTCACACAATTTAGATGAGGAAATAAAAGAAAGAAGGCCATGGGAGAAAAGGTACAGGAAAATCAAGAACTATTTCAATGAGGTCACAAGGAAAGTCCTAATGGATAAGCAAAGCATATTTAGGTTTCCTTTTTTCTGAAGGACGCGTAAGTTTAGATCTGAGTCTTCATTTAGTAAAAAGAAGTCAGCTTTTTTTTTTTTTTTTGAGACATGGCTCACTATGTGGTTGAGGCTGGCCTTGAACCCACTATATAGCCCAGGCTGCCCTCAAATTCATGGAGCTCCTCCTGCCTCAGCCTCCTGAGCACTAGAATCATAGGCATGCATCACTACACCCAGCTGAGAAAATCAGTACTTTGATTAATGAACTCTTACGTTGGCGGGGTTTGTAAAAGTTAAAGAAAACCCGTAAGCCAATAACTTACTGTGACTGCCCGTTGCTCTGAAGGCCTCTGCTCCTAAGGATGCAGCTGGGTCACTCTCTTCTGTTGTGCACGAGATAAGCCTTTTTAGCTTCAGCCTTGAACATTGTATAAATTACACCTTCCCCAATGCTTAGAGTGAATATTTTAAAGTGTTGACAAACAAACTAATTAGCAGTAAGCTGCCTGTGCATTCTAAAGGGTACATGGCATTCAAAGATTAAAAACCAAATGTGTGATCACAGTGCTAACACTGCTTTCTAGACAGCAGATTTAAAGAGAAAGTACTTGAACTCTGAGCACACTGGGTCCAACCCTCGCTTGCCACTGTCCCTCCCTTCTTCCTTCCCTCCCTCCCTCCTTTCCTTCCTTCTTTCTTTCCTTCCTTCTTTTCCTTCCTTCCTCCCTTCCTTATTTTAGTACTAGGGACTGAACTCAGGACCTTTGCCCTGAACTTCATCCCAGCCCTTTTTCATCTTTAGACAAGGTCTTACTAAATTGCTAAACTACCCAGGCTGGGCTCAAACTTGTGATTCTCCTGCCTCGGCCTCCCAGAGTTCTGGAATTACAGGCCTGTGCCACCACGCACCAGCTTGCTAGTGATTTTTCAAACTAGGCATAGCACAAAAGACCCCAGAGAGGAAAAGGCTGACATATTTTCCTCGAT